TAATCCCAAAATACATCTCTTTTATTAAGCATTTCAAATCTCTAGCCTTTCCACCTTAAATCTCTATTTTATATAGGATGCTTTGTGTTAAAAGTTAACAAATATAATATTTTTCCTATGTAAGTAGTAATGATATAATCATGTTATTCACTTTGGATAACCTCATGTTTAATTAGTCATATAAGAACAAATGTAAAAATATTGAGGGTAGCTCAAGCTTGTAATAGCAAAATGAAGGACTATTTCATAATGTTTTCAGCTCTATACCATTAATCTTTCAATATAGTTCACCAAGTAAGAATGTTGATTGCTTTCATTGAAAGGAATAATATGTTTTCTTTAAATAACCTCTTCAAAGCATTCAATCACCTATGCAAATAAAATAAAAACTAACCAGTTTTTTAATTGCACCAAACTGGGATTTATCTCACTTGTTCTTTCTTAGAGAGCATATTAAACAACCCCACAAATAACAAAGGAAGGGGCAAGCAATGAGGTGACCTGGTGAAAAAGTATATCTTTTACCAATGATAGTCACAAGTCCAAGGTTAGAACGATTTTCACATTTTGAAGACAATTATTAGCAGGATAGTTTATCTTAAAAATCTGTGGAAGTTTTCTTTTTTAATATGCAAATTTGATCTACTTTATAAGGTAAATTATAATCACAGCTTTGTTTTTTTTTACTGTCTGAGTTAAAAGAAATAGTCAATGTCTTCAGTGCTTTCTAGTCTAGATCTAGTGTAGTGGTTTTCAATACACTGTTTTTCCAACTTACACAACTCAGGATATAACGTATTCACTAGTAGTAGTTTCTAAATATGGTTTGTACTCCAGTCTGGACAGTGGATTGGCAAGAGGATTTAAGAAACCCTAGTGAAGGATGTTTACTTAGAAAAAAATTAGAGAGGCTGAAATGCCCACTTATTAGAAAGATGGAATAGCAAGTTGGATGAACTCCCATAAAGAAGGTAATTTCCTGTTTAAACTTGAAAATTACTAGCAGCAATAGAATTATCTTATAAATTTTTCTGCCTTCATGTGCAATACCTATGCCTATATAAAGATTATTCTCTTCCCAAACCTACATCCTGAGCAGGTTTTTTAATAGATGACAGAGTATCTCATTTGAATAGCTTAAACATTGATACAAGAAATTGCAAAGGAATAAGATACCCTGAGCTTTTCTGTATTTACTTTTTCTTCAGAATATGAAACAAAAGTTCATTTTATAGTAAGCTGTATCGAGGTCCCATTACATCTTGATATTTTACAGATATAGGTAAATTATGTTCTTCATTTAAACAAGTTAATAAGTTTAGCCAGAGTAGCCAAAAATTTACTCAATCATATTTTTCTTTCTCTTGTTCAAAAGCTTTCCGGGCCATGAATGAACAGACCAAGCCCTCACATCACTTGTCTTCAATAAAACATTATTGTCTTTTGGCATCCTCTTGCACTGGGGGAAATAAAAAGTCACATGTGGAGAAGTTCTAAATGCTAGACAGAAAGGATCCTTAGAGGGCAGTTTTTATCCTCCACGGAAGTGCTGCAGACTTCTTCCATTAGTGCAGTTGCAGGGAGCAAAAGGTTAGAGAAATGGGACTGCCAACGATACCTGAACACATAAGTCAAACTTTCCTCCATGTGGTGAGAGAGTGCCAGGGTGCACCCACAGGTGCATTAAAGCATCTGAGATGAAAAACAACAATGGTAATATTTTACGTTGGAAAACACTGTACAGATGGTGACATTTTGTTTGTGGTTGTAAGGAAGAAAGGAAGGCAGTTTCCAGCTCCCCCCCTCAACACCTACCATTTGGCATAGGCTATGGGAGGTCGGAGAAAACGGAGGGAGCTTTGCCTCAGTTGAAACAGCTGGGGAACAGATGGAAGCTGATGTGAAATTTGCCAAAAGCCTCATTTAAGCCTCCTAACCATTTTCCACCAAAAAAATAGCTAGTGAAGTGGTAACAGTAGATAGAGGTCTTTGGGTCAGCAAGTGGTGAACTTTGGACCCTGTAAGAAAAAAAAAGTTAAATACCCAAGATTATTCAAAATACAAATTAAAAATGAAATTTCAAGGGGCATGTTTTTAATAAGGCAGAGTAGTAGTGTGGGTATAAACCACAGTAGAATCATATGTATCACGAAAAAAGTACCCACGGCATTAATTCACACTGGTCCCACTTCAATTGCACGGGCTTTCCTCTAGGTTATGCTGTGAAGACACACACACTGACTCATGCTTTATTAATTGCAATTTAATGATTCCTTCTGTGATTATCGTAAATGTAAGTGTGCATAGTTTACTTCATTTTAGTCACTGGGTTTTACTTCAGAGCAGTTTTGGTTTGGAATTCAGGCACTCAGTAAATTGTTTTTGGATTTAAGTGTTGAGTTATAGCCAGATTTTTGTTTAAATCTAGTTGCTGGATATATAAACCTCCTGTTGTGTATTTCTAGTTATAATGGATGTGTATATGGAGCCATCACATATGACTGTTCATGTTTTGTGTGTTTGTTTGTGTGCATGCATGGTATTTATGAAGTACTTTTGAATATTGCAAAAGTTGGAGGAGATCGGTTTCAAAGAAACAAAAATAAATACAAGCTAATAGGCTTTCCTCAATGTGAATTTGTTCATTCATGCTTACATAAGGGAATGTGCTAACCATGAATCATTCAAATTGAATTGCTCATGAGAAAAAATGTGCTGGCTTTGTCATCAGTTTCCAGAGTTGTTTGACTGAAGGGAAAAGAGCACCTTCTCCATATAAAGAATAACCAGCCACAAATTTCGGGCAGAGAGTGGCTCCAAATTGGCCACAGTTCTTTTGATTCATGAGAACATGGATGCTTGTGAGGAGGACTTTTATTGGATTATTCTGTGCTGCCGCTGAGTTTGCAGCTTGCCACAATAGCCCATGGAATAATGTTTTTTTTTTTTTTTTTTTTTTTTAAATAAAGAAATTACTTGGAAGTTTTCTTCAGACAAAGCCAGAATAGCTAAAACGTCCTGTGATGTGGATATTAGCAAATCTGTGGCTTCAAAACAGTGTGCAGTGAACTGCAGTTACTACTAAAAGCCAGCTAGGTGGGCATTCTGTGAACACGACCTATATCAGAGTGCAAACTTAATTTATTACATAGTGCACCTGGTCCCAGTGGCTTCCCATAGTGTGTAATCAACTGATGTTACCAGCAACACTTTTTGCATTGGATAAAATCGCACCTGCCCTGCCAGTTGGCGAGTCAGTCCACACGGAGGTAAGTGACAAGCCTAGAAATGTGGTGAGTGCATGAGGAGGAGTTTTAGACAAGGCCAGGACACTGGTCAGTGATCCATCAAGAGAAAGGAAAGGCCAATTTGCCAAGATATTGATTCAAACCTATTGCTGCTGCTGATAGACTAGAACACTCGACATCTGGTCAGCGTAGATTCTGGTAAGAGTCAAAACAAAAGTGTTTACACTAAAGTGCCTTGTCTAATGGATTTCCAATATGCAGGGCCTTCTTTAGTTTGACTTCCTTCAGACAGACAGAAAGGAATAGAACATTTATAAAGCAAATAAAAATAGTGTTTTGTAGCTTTTGGGATAATTAACTATTCCTGGATGCAAAAAAAATGCAGTTTAAAAATTTCTTTTGTAAGCCATACCACATTATTATCTTTATCAATTAAAAAGTCACTTAGTGGCTTTTGGGTATCCATAATTTTTCATGCATTACTTTTCTTACTTGAGTGCGTAGAGTGTTTCATCATATTTTTACCTGATAAAGTCATCAGGGCTTATATGTACATGCTCAAAAATAATTAGAAGTTAGAAATAGTTTTCATGAGAGTACTAGCTTACATTTTATCTTGATTATGTTGATATTTCACAAAGGATAAATATAAAATGATTTACAAGAGGTGCTTCTGATTACTTTTTACTTGGTATATGCAGATTCTTTTCCATTATATAAAAATATGCTGTTCTTTGGTGCATTAAGAATATCTTCTAACAGGGGCTGGGGATTTAGCTCAGTGGCAAAGTGCCTGCCTGGCAAGCGCAAGGTCGTGAGTTCGGTTCCTGGTACCGGAGAAAAAAAAAAAAAAAAAAAAAAAAAAAAAAAAAAAAGAATATCTTCTAACATACATCTCAAGAATATTATAGGAATAAATACCATGTGCTAACTTTGTCTTGGTCCCTGAGAAATAAAGATAGAATGATATACTCCAAGTTATTATTTTTATCTTTATATGGCATTATAAGATTTGATGTGGTGAATCATTGATGCTAGGTATTATACAACATAATTATCACACACACATATATGTATATATACTACATATAATAGAAAACATACTTTTAAACTCTGTTCATCTTTTAAGTTATAGGAACATAGCTTTATTTATAGATTCCATATTGAATGAAGTATGATATATAATAAAAGAACATAGGTCATGTCATCAAAGAGATCATACATAATTAGAAATAAAAAAGCCATTAAGTACATACATACTTTTATATATGCTCAGTTTGAGTTTGAACTTTTATAGCTCTGTTGCTAAACATTTGATTGCAAAAATACTCATGCACTGTACTTGCTACCTTGCTAAGAAAAGAATTTTATACTCAATAGTACTTAGACCACAAGTATATACATTAGGCAAAATTTTATGTCTAAATGTGTTATCTCTTGAGGCTTTGGTCTATTTTATTATGATAATACCATATTATGAGCCATCCAACTATTGGTCATGTTTTGTAAAAGGAAAGTTGAATATTTCCCTAACCAGGATGTCAGTTTTTGAAAGGCAGATATAAAAAATAGGAAACATATCTCACCCTATTGAGGTGAAATTGATGTTTGTGTCTTTGCTCTCTATTTATACTCTATCTAGCTCAAAACCTGGAAAAGTAGTTACTCAGTGTCTATGAATAATATTATTGCCTGTGTCTTGAATAAACACTTTTAATACTAAATATTTTTTATTGTTTATTTTTTTTGCAGACTCCCAGGAAGGAAATTACAAGTCAGAAGTTAACAGCAAACCCAGGAAGGAAAGGACAGCTTTTACCAAAGAACAAATCAGAGAACTTGAAGCAGAATTTGCCCATCATAATTATTTGACCAGACTGCGGCGATATGAAATAGCGGTGAATCTAGACCTCACTGAAAGACAGGTAAAACTGGACATTGTCTTTCCATGATTGTTTTTATTACTTTGAGTCAGCAGTGTTCTTTCACCATTTTAAAACATCTAGGTCTGTCATTCTTAAACATGAGTTGGAAGGCATGGGAGTTATTATATGAAGTTTTTTTTCAGCAAAATGACAATATTAAATATGAAGATGTTAGAAGGAAAACTACATTTATTGGGTTTAGGAAAGAATCTTTATTCTGTGATAATGAACTTCTTGTATTTTTTTAAAAAAGATATTGCTTTATGTAATGATGTCCCTTAGTGAAGAATTTCATATGCGGGGCTGGGGATTTAGCTCAGCGGCAAAGCGCCTGCCTGGCAAGCGCAAGGTCGTGAGTTCGGTTCCCGGTACCGGAGAAAAACAAAAAAAAAACAAAAAAAAAAAAAAAAAAAAAGAATTTCATATGCTTATATTTAAAAATTTTCTTATTTGATGAAATAAAAGGTCAACAACCCCAGGTTGGTTTCCTGTATCGCTCAGGATAGTTATGTTATGGTGCAGTAACACATTAACCCTCAAACCTCAATGGAATAATGAAACAAGTTCATTATTTGCTTACTCTCCATAAAAACTCTACACACTCAGCATTCCAAATAATCACTCACAGGCACACTCTGCTTCTCTGGCATCTCCACATGTGGTGTCCCTGGCAACCACAGGAGGCAGAAAAGAATGGGAAGTTTGTGCACTGACCTGCAAATGTTTTCACCTGGAAATGACCCATGTCACTTCCATTTACACTGTAATGTTCGGAAATAGTCAGCTGCTGCGACTTTGGGGCAGAGAGGCTGGGAAACGTTGGGAGGCTATAGCACATAGATCATTGGCCATGTTTCTATCACCTTGTGCAAAATATTTTTGAAATTGTATTAGTCTCAGCAGTTCAAATTCTGGTACTCACACAAAGACCACTTTTAAAGTGTTAGTGATCTATAGAATCCAAATAAGAAGATATAAACACTATTTCAAAAATTAATTACATCTTGGTCCCTTTTTGGATGACAAATGATTTGCTCCCTAAGTACTCACAAGGTCTTTTTGTAGTTTCTGATTTGCCCTGGGAGAATGAAGCCTGGTGATAGCTAACAGTTGCTAATCTTCAGAAAAACATTCCTGAGGGGCAAATGCAAACATCTTTATGGACAGTGCAGTTATGATTGGCACTCTGAGGGCTAGAAATTTCATTTCCTCTTTGACTGTACTTACTTCCTCCAGAGGCCCATTGGAACCAAGAAAATATCAATGGGGTGTGGGCAAGTGTAACATATCTTTTGAGGGAAAGTTATTTTATCCAGCTTCTTCAATCATCTTTCTTTTACTTTTCAGAACTCAACTTTCATAGGTTATTTCTGGGTAATGGAAATATACACAGCAATACTTTTATGCGGTTTTCTTTATTGGCAGTATATATTTTATTAAATATTATGACTAGCACCTAAGTTATAGAGCACAACATGTTCTTCCCTGGAACTTCATGTAGAGTTGCCGCTATAAGAGTACAGAATATGGCACAATGGAAAGCAAGGTACACAGTCTACATCATCAGAAGTCTGATTGTTATTTATTTATTTTTAAATGAGAAGAAGAAAATAGAAAGGGGGAGTAATTACACCTCAGTATGGTTATACAGCGATTGCAAGCTGAAAGAAATATAGTAACATTTTAAATAATACATGAAAGATATAAGAAGATAAGTCTAATTCCATTCTACAAAAAAGGACAGACACAGCATGTGCTCTCAGCCAAGAGGAAAGTTGAGGTTCTTGTTTACTAATGTAGGAGAAGGCCATGGTTGTCCCTCATTTTTGATCAGAGGTCTGCTTGGGTATAGGATAAGTTCTTTGTGGAAGTTATTCTTTAAATCTGATTTGAGAATTTTGAAGATATTTTGGATATTTCTTCTTTCTTTCTAATGGATTTGACATCCTTTGAAAAGAATTCTACTGAAAAACTTACATAGCCATACACACACACATACTTAATAACATTTTCAGTATTTTGTTTCAGTGTTTTACACTGCTAAAACAAATGACCCATTTTTAGTGACTTAACAATTTTTTTCTGTCAGAGGTTTGGGCTAGGCTTGCCAACCTTCCCTACATCAGCTAGTGTGCTGAAGAGTTGACAGAGCCTCAGCTCGGACAGCTGGGCTCCACTATGTGGGGTTTTGTCTGCTACTAGGCTAGCATGGGATGCTTCAGTGGGTGCAAGACTCCAGCAAGCAAGGGTGTTTTAAGCTTCTCTTTGCGTTATATTTTTTAATGCTCCTTTTTCCAAAGTAAGTCAACGAATCAAGTCTGATGTCAAACAGAAGTCATTGGAAGGCATCTCTGAAATAATCTAACAACAGCATCATAAGGAAATAAAAAGAGCACCCAAATACTGTTAAAGATAATTAGGTGTTCAAACAATTGAAAATTCAGTTTTTTAGGGAAGACTCTCTTTTATTCAATAAATCTCTATTTCTGTTTTGCAAACTAATATGAAAAAGGGATGCATGCCTTGGAATCTAAACTCCTCATAAAGAGCAAATCTTAAAAGAATAATTATGTAGAGTAAGAAAGAACTGATTTAGTATGTGAAAAGTAGAAATGAATATCCAATATTTGTGTCTTGGAATTATGCATTCTTAGAGCAATGACAAACTCCTTGAGGCATAAAATAGAAAATAAAAATACCTGGTCTTTCTTCCACTGAGATTTACATGCCATAATACATATGAAAGGATTTTTAGTATAAACTATAAAACACAACTACCACCTGGAGGGGAAATAACATTACTGTGCAAGGCATGTTGAATTACTTGGTTTGTAAAACAAATATTTGTTGAGCTAGGTGCTAGTAATAAAATCTTGTCAAAATAAGCTAAAGAAGTAAATCCTAGAACTCACAGAAGAGGCAAAAATCGAACAAGTATCACCAGTTGTGATGAGTGCTGAATGTCACAAGAGACGCCTCAAGGGAGAATGTTCTTGGTTGTCAAATGTTACTTTTATTCCTACACTATGTTAGTATCTTAAAATAAGGCTCTTAAGGTTTTATTTTTCTTTTTCTGGGCCAAGGTTTTTTATTTTATTTATTTTTATTTTTATCTTTTTTTTGGTGGGCAAGTTTTAATATGATGAATTTATCAGGAAAAAAATGTATGTTTCAACCATCAATTTTATTATTTTTGAAGCTCATATTCCCCCAGATTGCCAAGGTGTTTATCCCAGCTAATTACTTTGCTCCTTTGAGAATGGGCATTCAACACTTTAGATGTAGTGTTCTAAAATGAATTCCTTTATGTCCATTTTCTCTAAATTGAGATGCATCTTCTCTTACCAGTTCAAAGTGGTATTGGAAATACTGTAGACTAGGGGGCTAATAAAGTAAGGAAGTTTAATTTTTACAGTTCTAGAGGCTACAAAGTCCCAGGTCAAGGCACGGGTAGATAAAGAGTCTGATGTGGGTCTCACAGTCAGTGATCTTCTCACTGTAGCTTCACAAGCTGAGGGGCTTTGTAAGTTCTCCCTTGAACGTTTGATGAGGATGTTACCTCTGCTAATGGGGGGGGTCTATCTTCAGGAGCTAATCGTCTTCCAAAGGCCCCACTCTAATGCCAGTGCCTTGAGGTTTGGATTTCATATTTGTTCATATTTGCTGTCTGGCATTAGAACAGGCATTCATACCATAGAGAGCAATAGAAGTTGTTTGATTTTCCTCATGGTTAGCTATCATTTTAGAAATAATTGAGATATTGAATCCTTAGGAATCACTCAGATCATTTTCCAATTCCTACCTGAAGAATGGTTGTAAAATCTTTTACACACACACACACACACAACTTCAGATCCATTTCGGTCTTCCAGAATGCCATGTTGGGGGGGTGCTATAATTCCCTTTATAGTCTATAGTTCTCTTGGACCTCATCAATCAAAAAAGGGAGGAAAAATGAAAAGATCAAACAGGATACGATAAAATAATTCCCTGTTAACAAATAGAAAGTAAACACAATTATTTTATGTTAAATAAAAACCAACAACCTACAACACTACTGAACTTTTACTTATATGAAGCTGTTTAGTGAAGAGTTATCGCTCTAGTAATGTTCCAGCTGCTAACCTGCAATTTCACTTTATAATCTATTTTCATTTACTCTTGGAGATGAACAGCTAATAATCGTTAGTTGGCAGGGTCAGTTACCACAATCTGGGGGATCCTGCCATTGCTAGGTATTTTTTCAATTGTACAAACTGATTTTGGCCTTTCTCCCCCATGCAGATAAATTTGGAGCAAGATGTTGCCCGATATGTAGTAGTATTTCACCTTGAGAATAAAGGAGAAAGCAGCTGTATACGTGAATAAAAGAAGTAGAAAATGGATATTTTTAGCGTTAAAATGGCCAAATATAGAAAGAATAGGAGATCCTTCCACTTCATAAAACCTTTTCCACAGAGCTAATCAAAGGTGCTACATGGCAGATTTGTCAATTCTCTGAAATTACAGGAATAAACAGACTGAATTCATATCTCTGCCAAGATAAATGGAAAATCCCACCTAGTTGAATCAAACTCTAGTAATGGAAACGAGAGACATTATTCTTTGTTTGTTACTCATAAATCATTAAATTGCTCAATGTCAAGTATTTGCAAAAGAGCCGTTCATTCTTTCCATGACTATGAAGGACAATTATTTCTGCGTGAATATCTAGTGACTTTTGTCTTTTGCTTCACATTTACATGCAGTTTTTCTCATTCACTGATCCAAGACTACCTGTGTAGCCAGTGATTACAGAATATTCTTCCATACTTTGCCTCATTATTTACCGGTCATTAGAACAGTAATAGTACTGAGTAACAGCAAGAAGTTTTCTTTGTTTAGTTCTTGGAATTCTAGGTATTTTTAAAGATTAATCATTATTTAACTCCGTTTGGGAAAGTGGAATAACAGAAGGTAAAAGTAACAGGGGTACAGGAGAAGAAATCTAAGTGGACAAT